CTTTACCTTAAAGGAGCTTCTAGTCAACTTAAGGGGGGTGTGAGTGGGAGAGGCACAATTTGCACATACCTAAGTATAATAACAGGTAGACTGGAATGGAGGCAATGGAGGGATCAAGACAAAGTTTTCTAGGAAATTTTGAGCTGAGAGAGAACCCTGAGGGAGTAGGGCAGTGCAGAATGGGGAAGGACTGCTTCTGGAAATAGATGGTGGTAGGAGTCACTGGTTGCTATTAAGGTTGCTATAGTCAGAGAGTTGACTAGAGGTAGTTTACACCATTTTCCCTGGGTGAAGGTGGGGGAGGTTTGGGGAAAGAATGTTGAGAGTCCAAGGAGGCCACAGTTTAAAGGCAGGATCATTTTGGCATTGCCATGACAGTTGGGAGGGAGAAGGAGATTAGAGTAAGTGCCCTGGGTTAGAAGAGGCCAAACTCAGCTCAGAATTAGAGTTGTCAATTAAGAAGTATGTATTAAGTACTTACTGTGTGCTAGGCACTGTGCTAGCTGCTGGGAATATAAAAGTAAAGAATGTAACCAGGTTTCCTAACATTACATAGATTTGGGCTGCACAGCTGCTCTTGTTCTTGCTACAGGGCTAGCCCACCTTCTTTTCTAGTAGGACATCTCTGTGACATTTTTTGCACCACATCTTGTGTGCAATTCTCTGTCAGTAGTATGCTGTGATCTATTCATTCCCACCATACATCTCTCCATTGCCCCTAGAATGACATGTGGTTTTGGTCTTTCAGAGATAATGCTGTTCCATGATTCAAATACCTAACATCACTGGAAGAATACTGATGTAAAAAGTTGGGTTTCTGTTTCAGAAATCACTATGTGATTTCCCAAATATAATCCAGCCCTTTCTTTTCTTATTCAATTCTAAGCCTACTTCATTATCCATCTATGGTGTTTGGCTAAGATCTATGTACTAATGGACCAGTTCTATAGGTTGTGTGCATCCAACTACATACAGGGGTTGGTGATGATCTGTGAGCTAAATTCAGCCCGCTGCCTGGTTTTTGTACAGCTTCCCCAGCTAAGAATGGTTTTTACATTTTTAAACAAAGCTTTATTGTATTTTAAAATATATAAACCATTCTTAGCTCACAGGCACGGCCTGGATTTGACTCGCATGGTTTGCCAACTCCTACCATAGTATATAAAATAGGTATTCCTCATTCACTTTGTTTTCCCAATGTATCTAGTTAAATCTAACTCTTATGAATGATTACGGATGTCATTTGAGTAGCTGGGAATTGATGCAATCAGCACTGTCATCTGTAAACAGAAGTTATCTGGAAGACCTCAATATTTATAGGGAATCTATATTATCTTCCATTAGGTCTCTGCACTGGACATCCTTCATGACAGTGGTACATACCTTTGGCAACTATGTGTCTCCCTGTTTTATGTCTTGCTTAATATTAAATATTAGAGAATTATTGAACAATGTTACCAGTTTTGTTGAATCTTTCAAGGAGTCGTGTATGGTTTTAACATATGCATGGAGGACACTTTGTTGGAGGAGAGGCTTTAAAGCGGCATTTTGCTTTACCAAATCAAATGCTTTTTTTCAGTCAACAAACAGTAAGCACAGTAAGATCATGTACTCTCTGTAGCTTCCATTCAGTGATGTGACTATAAAGAAGTGGTCTGCTATAGAATACCATTGTTAGAGCCTACCTGTTCCTTTCTAGTACTTTCATGGATAGTTTTGATATGTTTGTTAACTATTCTCATTTCATAGGTATGAGAAACTAGGTATTTATTATCAATGTTTTCTTGATTACCCTGTCCATTTTTTCAAGTGTTTAGTGTCTTCACCTTTTTCAGACATTTCAAGGATTAACCTCTCAAACCCCACCACCACTGCCCCAAATTGTGTCACCTTCAGCACGGACCTCCTTTCTGTATATTTAGTCTAGTCTAACTGCTCTTCCTATCTATATTTTCTTTAATGTAATTTCTGTATCCTTTTGTAGCATGTTGGGGACTATGATGTTTTAATCCAAATGTGGAAGAAATAGTTTGTTATAGAAATCTTGACAGATCTTTTCCCTTTTTTTGTCTTTGTTGTCCTCTTTTTGGTTTCATCCTTAAGTGCTCTCAGGATGATCTTGGTTTAAATTAGGTCTCTCATCAGACTTTCTGTAAATTTATTTTTCCCCTCAATTGCTTCTTACTCTTCTGAGAGGATACGATTTATAACTTTCCCAGATCCAATAAAATTTCACAAATGAATTTATTATTTAAACTGGTGTTGACTCTGGCTGCCTGCTGAAGTGGTTTTTTAACTTTTTTGGCTTCTTTATTCTGGCAATTGATTTATATCACTTAAATTTCAGTAGGAATTGGCTGTCCTTGATATCCACTTCCATTTTTTCCCCTTCTGTTTGCAGAAGTCAGATAGGAGTTGTTTTAAATTATACTCCATATCATCTTCTCATTCTTATTTTACTTTGGTGTTAATTTTAATCTTTGCTCTAAAAAACTGATAGTCTTACTATGCATAGACTTAGCAATGACTATGACATTGGTAATCAGGTATTTCATGTCTATTAAGATACACTAAATTTCATTTATTGTGCTGTTTGTAGATGCTTTCCATCTCCTGACTTCCTTCTGGAAGAAAGTGTTCATGATACATAGACATAAGCCATCAGTCATTTACCTACAAAACTTTAGTCTCCTTCATTTTTTAACTTTTGGCCATGTTTTTCCCATTCCCCAGTGTTCAACTTTGTATTTGAAGTCACTAATTTATGTTTGTCTTATTTAGTTCTTTAAAGAATTTCCCTACCTCTTCATCTTCTGCAACAAATGTTGATATATAAGCTAAAATTATCTTAATGATAATTGGGGATTTTCCCTCCAAAATACTTATTATGAGCATTTCGATATGAGATGAACAAGTATTCCATGAAATTATGTTTCTTATTGCCTTTGGACCAACATACAACCAATTACACTGGCTCCTTTTTTTCCCCTTCTGCAGGGAGAAACTGTAAGCCATCCCTCCATCTAGCTACAATTTCCTTATGATTCAGTTCTTTCAGTATGTTGACCTATCAGATTTTGGACAAGGATAACATATTTATGGTATCAATGTTACTGTTTATCAATTGTCTAAAAACTATGATTCTTTTTTTTTTTTTTTTGCCTAAGCAATGGGGTTAAGTAACTTGCCCAGGGGTACACAGGTAGTTAAGTGTTATGTGTCTGAGGCTGGATTTGAACTCAGGTCCTCCTGAATCTAGGGCTGGTGCTCTATCCACTGCGCCACCTAGCTGTCCCTAAAAACTATGATTCTTAACACCTGCCCTTCTTCATTATTCTGCCTTAGTAAGTTCAAAACCAGAACTCACAGGATTGAGGACCAGTTTGTACTTTTGTTTCACTGGTTGCCATAACCAAAGAATTCACTACCATCCTAATGGTAATGAAATTCTTTGTACTTAAGTTGGCTGGTCGTCAGAAAGCAGACATAATCAGTTGCTGGAACTATCCTTAAAGCCTTTCCAATATAGTAGAACCTACCAGAGATTGTACTCTGTTGACATAGTTTTTAGTTTTTTGGGTTTTTTTTTTCTTTGCTTAGGCAATTGGGGGTGAAGTGACTTGCCCAGGGTCACATAGCTAGAGTGTTATGTGTCTGAGGCCAGATTTGAACTCAGGTCCTCCTGAATCCAGGGTCGGTGCTCTATCCACTGCACCACCTAGCTGCCCCTCTCTTTACTTATCTAAGCCCCACCTGTCCTTCAAGTCATACCTCCTCTGTAAAGCCTTCTCAGACTACTCCAGACCATGGTGAACTAGCTCTCCTCTGATCCTCTATGGCATTTATTTTCTCTACTAGTCACTTATCACATTATTTGACTTCAAATCCAAAATTATCACTATACTATGCTACCTCACAATTATAATGAGCTCCTTCTCCTCTTATTCTGAAGGTTCATAAATCCAGGTGCATGGAATTTTAGACTCAGCAGCATCAGAGACCTTAGTTGTGACTTACATGTGTTAATACCAGCCTTTCCCTGTGAAATATCATAGGGCTGTTACCCCACCCCTCCTCCCCAGTGAGGAGTCACATGCCATTACTACTAGTTTGCAAATTATCTGAAGATTAGGTGTGAAGAACCTTATCTCATTTAATCTTGTTATTGTTCCAGTGTCTAGCATAATCCTCTAGAGTAGTTGCTTTAAAAATATTTCTTGTTGAATTATTGGTGTATATGTCTAAGTTCCTTATGTGTTATTCATAGGGTCATAGATTTAGAGATGGTAGGGATCTTGGCATTGTAGACCAATTTTTTCTTTTCAAAGATGAGGATACTTAAGGCCCCCAGACAGAGTGATTTGCCCAAGGTCATAGAGGCAGAAGAGCCAGAGCCAGATTTTGAATTCAAGTCCTTTGACTTTAGAGTCAGTTCTCTTTCACCAACACCATGGTGCTACTTCTCTTTGTAGCTCTTCACACAGGACACAAGGAAGGATGAAGCAAAGTAGGTAGAGCTCTTTTCAATTCATTTCAGCAAGATTTTTAAGTTGATCATTTCCATGTAAGTAAATCAGTATCTCTCTTTCTCTCTGCATCAATCCCATCTTTCTCTCAGGCCTCCTCATCTCAGGTTCCCTTTTTGTCCCCTCTCTTCTTACAGATGTACTCCTGGGGTATAAGTAATACTAGAAGAGCCTGAGGAAAATCTGTTTTTTTCTGCCCTCCCTCCCTAGCCTGGGTGTTCAGTGTTTAGGGTATACAGTGGATTGACTCAGCATCTAGCTTGCAACCATTTGCCCTCCACAAACATATCTTGGTGAGTTGTGAGGGTGTAGATAAGAGAATGAGTTGGCAATAGTTATAATTGGTTATGTGGGTTATGAAAAAGGAATAATCAAAATTTTCACAGAGAAAACCTGGTCTTATGATTGGAAAGGACTTTAAATATCAGTTATTCTACCATGTTCATTTTACAGGTGAGGAACTTGAAGTCCAAAGAAATTAAGGGACTTGCTCAAGGTCATACAGCATGTTACTGGCAGAGTTGAGACTAGAACCCAGGTTTCCTGATTCCTCATCTGTTGTTCTTTTCACTTACTCAATTGATGCCTCCCCAGTGTTCTCATTTGTTTACTGTTCACTATATAAATAAGTTCCTTTTCTTTGCCTTAACTTCTTAAACTCTAAGTATAGCTATAATCCCATTTGCCATTGGCATCCATTCAATCAGTATTTGAAATTTTTTTATTGAATACCTACTATGAATTCAACACATACTAGGCATTGAGAAAGATTCAAAAGAAACAACAGGGAAAAGCTCTGTGTGTGTGAGAGAGAGAGAGAGATTAAGGGCTACAATAGGAGCTGTCTAGCGTCATAGAAGGGAGAGATCCATGTTGATTGAGGGGCCCTAGTGAAGGGAAGAACAGAGAGAAAAGTAGGAAGAATGAGAGAGAAATAAAAAGAAGAAAACCTAGCAAAACAAATATAAGAATTGCCACACTGGGTCAGACCCCTAGTCACTCTAGTCCAAATCAAGAAATCAATAAATACCACGCTGGTGCAAGCACCATGCTAGTCCAATATTCTTTCTCTGAGACAGCAAGGATGGTTCATTGGAAAGTGTAATGGCTATCTTCCATGACACCTTCCTCAGCGATGAGGAATTAACCCCTAAATCCATTAATTTTAATATCCATTACTGTTCTTGGGGTATAAAATTAGAGGCAGTAACTTCTAATAACCATGAGTCCTAGCTGATAAGATATTGGAGACGTTTAAAAACTGCCTTGGGTAGCACTTGATAGTACTAGGGCTGTCAATTATCTATGTCCTAAATCCTTCCAATCCCATCTTGAGTTCCTACCCATACCCCACGACCCCAACCCTATCCCTCTCACCAATCAAATAAGGAAGCAGAATCCTTCATAGGAGGAATTTTCAAACACACCTCAGACAGCAGTCATGGTTTCTGAGCCTGTTCTGGAAAAGCTGCTTGAGCAAGTGACCTGTAGCATCTGCCTGGAATACATTTTGGACCCTGAGCATCCCATATGGCCCCAGCTTCTGCTGAACCTGAGGGCTGTGGCATATCGAAATCCACAGAAGGAACTACAACCTGAACTTTATGCCAGAAGCCTTTTCAAAAAAGAGACGCCAGACCCAATGGGATTTTAGCCAATTTAATGCTGAGCCTTATTACTCTAGAGCACTAGAGTGGGCAGCCACCAAGGGAGTATCAGTTTTGTGAGCAGTTTGGGGGTGACATTTTCTACTTCAAGAGGATGAGTGCTTCCAATGTGGAGTTTACAAAGATCTGAAAAAGTACAAAGATTATTTTGAGCTGCAGACGGAGGAGGATGCTCTACCATACAAGGTAGGACAATCATCTTTCCTTTACAACATCCTGGTTACTATTATCTGCTAGTCCCCCCCATGTCATTAGTAGTTTAGTACCTGGTTTAAGCTTCTTCCCTACCCCACCCCTTCCCTCAAACTTAGGAACTTCAGTATACATGTTGATTGTCCCTACACACATGACACATAAAATAATGCTGATCTCCTCAGCCTCCATGATCTGCACCTCCATTTTCCCTCATCCGCACAGAGGGATCATAATGCTCTTGATCCCACTATCACATCTAGCTCTTTGACCTTCATGATTCAGAACTCAGAGTTTCCTTTATCAGACTGTAACTGCTTATCTTTCCCTCTTTTCCTCTAGCTCACTCCTAAACCTTTTCTTCATCTTCATCATTCTCTCTAGTCACTCTACCCCTTCCTGCTTTCATAGTTCACCGTCCCTGTTCTGGCCCCATTTTCTTCCCTTCACAATCTCAACCAGATTCGACTTTATAGCCATGTATTTTGTTGCCTTGTCATTATAAATGCTCCTACCTTTTCAAACCCTACCTCTGGGTTACTCCCACCTTCTCTACTCTACTCCTGTTCACATAGGTCTGAATTCTTCTGGAGGAAGTCACAACTGTGCTGACCAAATCTGCTACAAAGTTACATTATCTAACCTCAACTGGGCTCTCACTGCTACATGTCAATACCCTTACTCATCCCTGATTGACTCTAGATATACTCCTACTCACAGAGACCTTTCCAAACCTTCTCTCCTCAAGCCACTTACATAACCCCTTCCTCTTATCAAAAGACCTCACCTTGTAATTTTTTTTAAAAGGCCAACTGTGTAAATATATATTCTTCTTAATTCTGTGCCTCAAATTCTGTCATCATTCCCCCTTAGATCTAGTGTAGGAGGAAGAGGTAGACCTTATCCTTCTGAAGGCCAGTCCCTCTACTTGTGCCCTTGATCCTATTGCTTCTGAACACTTGCTCCTTGATCATTCTCTTCTCTCCTCCACCTCCAGTAGCTTTTCTTCTGTTACTTATAAACATCCCCAGATCTCCCTCTTTAAGAAAAACCCTTCATTTGACCCTGCTATCCTCTCAAACTCTTCCCTGATATCCTTCTCAAACTCAAACTTTTCAAAGCTAAACTGTCAGGAGAAAGTGTCTACATTTGTTTTTTCCACATCCTCACCTTCCACTCATTTGTCAGCCCCTTAAAATTTGGCAACCCCACTCATCAATGGAAATTACTCTAATTGTAATTGCCAAGTGTTTTGCTGGAACATCCCTACCCACCTGTAATGCATGGGGGTATCCCATGGCTATGTCCTGGGTCCTCTTCACTTCACTCTCTCATCAATTCCCATGAGTCCACTAATCATCTGTATGGAGATGACTATAAATTGACTTACCTAGCCCCCATTTCTTTCCTGAGCTCCAATTATGCATCACCAACTGTCTGCTGGACATTGCTATCCAAATGACTCATTAGCATCTCAAACATATATAAAATAATTCATTATCTTTATTCTCAATTCATTCCTCTTCCTAAATCGTCTATTTTTCCTGATAGCATAACCATCCTTTTAGTCATCCACATTCAAAACTTGCCATTCTCAACTCTTCTCTCCTTTACCTCTCAAGTCCAATCAGTTTCCACATCTTGTCATTTTTACCTCCACCTCTTCCCTGGACTATTGAAATAACCTCCTAATTGGTTTCTTAGCCTCTATTCTCCCCACTCGTCTATCCTCCTTACGGCTGCCAAATTGATATTCCCAAAGCTTAGGTCTGACCATAACATTTCTCTGATTAAGAAGAATCAGTATCTTCCTATTGCCTCTAGGATAAAATATAAATGCCTTTTTCTGGCATTTAAAACCCCTCATAATCGTCTTCAAACTATCTAGACTGATTAATACTTCCTCCTATGCAATATACATACCATTCAAACTGGCTTTCTTGGTCTTTCTCATATGTGGCACTCAATGCATTGCTTGTATTGCCTTTACACAAAATCTACCTCAAACCTGGGATATGCCTCCTCTTCACCTCTGCCTCTTGGAATCCTGATTTCCCTTCTAGACTCAGTTCATGTGCTAATTCCCACTGAAGACCTTTCCTGATTTTCAGTTAACGCTCTCCCTCAATCCTGAAATTACTTTGAATATGTTTTGCAATTACTGATCTGTGCACATATTTTTTCCTTCCAATAAAATGTAAGCTCCTTGTAGGCAGGAGCTGTTCAGTGTTTTTAATTTCCAACATAGTGCTGGATACTTATTAAGTGCCTACTGAATTGAATTATCTCTAGCCCAAAAATAAGCCCAGTTAAGAGATTTTTCTGTATCATTACAGAATCCCAGCACCTGCCGACATTCCACAGCCCTATTAGCAACACCAATAAGCATGTTTCTCTCATTTCTCACCTTGTATTTATAGCACAACCATTACATTTATCCATGTGTGGGAAGTTTGAACATGAATGTTATCTGTAGTATTTCTTGGGACTGCACAGCATGAAGCAAACATTTAAAAAGCTGAAAAAAATGACAATGATAGCAAAGTTCTTGGTGTATAGCCTGTCTTGACAGATGCTAGTGTCAACTGGACCTAACAGACTTCTAACCTCTGGGTGGCTGGAGCTGAACAGAGCAGGCTAGAGACAGGAGAGTCAGGAATCAAACAGAAGATTAATTTCAAAGTGAGGGAAACGGCTTGCAAGCAAGAAAGGGATCTAGACTCGTGCTGGGGCCCCACCCCTAGTGAGGGGATCTGCTTTAGTGTGGTAGAACCTTGATTTATATACTTGTGGCTAGACAAAGAGTCAAATAGTGTAGTGCAGCAACAGTAGTGAGGCACAACAACAGTGAGACAAGGTTGTCCAGTGACAAAAAGTCCATTCATAGCAGGGTTTCATGTCTGGGCCCTTTGGTGCTTGCTCACATTCAGGGACCATCAGTTCCAGAAGGTGAGCGCAAAGGATTGTTGTCACAACTTGCTTGCTGGGCCTTAGCTCTGGAAAATAGGGTGTCTGCTAATAGTATCTTGGCATGAGTTTGGTTTAGCTTGACTATTCCTTTACTAGGGAATCTAATTCTTCTGGAATTATGCATTCCATCTTCTTCCTAATTCCAGTCAAGAAGGCATGAGATGTCCAATGGTCTTACCATTTGGTAAGCCTCTTCCTGGGTACGTGTTACTCTAATCCCCTCCTTCCTCCCTCAGAGTTGATTTTGATATTCTGCTGACTTTTTAGGAAACCTAGACTGTAATCACAATTCTACCATCAACCAAGTGTGTGATGTTAGCTAAAGTAAGTTAGCCTCTTTGGACCTCAGTTTCCTTGTCTCTAAAATGAGTGAACTTGATAAAATAATCTCTTATGTCCCTTTTAGATTCCTGTAGGGTCATCTTTAAAACTGTCTGGCAGACCAGGATGGCATTTACTTTGTTTAATTTGCTTTTTTATCATGATTTTAACACACACACACACACACACACACACATACACACACACACCTCTTAATGAACCTAATGAACATTAATGGTTTAATGAACATTAAATTTTATGTACATCTTTCAAAACTGTCTTCTGATCTTTATTAATGTTTATTCTTTTTTTTTGCTGAGTTGTCATCAAAGTATATATATTTTGTGTTCTGCCCTTTTCGGTTATTTCTTGTACTCATTTTCATGTATAATATAGTCTGCATATTTGAATGAATAAAAAATTATCAAATACTTTGTGCCAAAGACCTGTGCTAAGCTGAGAATACAAATACAAAAGCAAAGACAGTTCCTGACCTCAAGAAGACGGTACATATAGGAGAGTGGTAGCCAGGGAGGGTTGTTTTGGTATGGACGTTATCACAGTCCATTTACGTGCCCTTTCCAAAGGCAAAGGTAATGTAGATTTTATTAGTTCTTAGATGAAGAGGTGGAAAGTAAGGCAATATATATATAGTGTCAGAACAGCAAATGGCAGTCATGAAGATGAGGAAGAACAACTCTAGAGATTTCATAGCTGACGAGCTTAGCTTCTTTTGGGCATGAATTCTAGACATCCAATATGGAAAGAGTAGCAGCAGAAAATGACAAGGGTGCTGATGAGGACAAGGTAGTTTTGGAAGGGAGGGCCCTAGAAGTTGGGGGAGGGAGGAAGGCAATCACAAAAGGTTTCATAAGTAAAATGTAATGATTCATCTAAGTCTTAAAAGAAACCAGGGATTCCAGGAAGCCATGTTGAAGAAGATGGGCATTCCAGATATAAGGGACAGCCAGCCAGTACAAAGGCACAGAAGTGGGAAATGGAGCATCTGAGGAGCTAAATGGAAGCCCTTGGAATTGTTTGATTTCAAAGTTGGGAAGTTTTACAAAGATTTTTCTCCCAAGTAATAGAGATGAAATAGGCTAAAATAAAGTTGTTATGCCAATTAGAGCAGTCTTTCCTGACTTTATCAATGTGGCAGATCAGAGGCGCAGGTCCTGGGCTAATGGTAGGGAGTTATTGGGCCAATACATTTTTCTCTGTTCCTGTGGTTGAGGCTTGTCAGAAGCAGTTTGCTTTTACCTGGAAAGGAATTGAGAATACCTTTATTGTCTATCATAATTTTCCTTCGTATTGCTACCATTTTGGTGGGCAAAGAGCTGAGGAGACCTACTTCCTGAGGGCATTAATAACCACCACTGTATTGATGATGTAATGTTGACTGGGCCAACAATGGTAGAAACCTGTTATCAGATGGTGATTTATATAAGAAAAAAGGGGTGGGAGATAAACCCTAAGAAATTTCAGAGTCTAACCTATTTGGTTAATTTGGGGGGAACACACTGGGTAGAGAAAATCCAGATGACTCCAGATGTAGTCTGAAATAAGCTGACATTTGCGTCATCAAAATCTAAAAAGGAAGCTCAGAGGTTATTAGACACTTTGAGTTCTGGAGAATTCATATTCGTCATCTGATTATTTTAATATTCCCTATTTACCAAGTCATTTGCAGATCTACTTTTAAG